TGCATTTATTTATTTATTTATTCACGGTAACACCATTTATACAATAGTAGTTAGCATAATCAATTACAAGATGGCATAATTAACAACGACACTACATTACTAATGCAATTGCATTATTGTTTTATCAAGAATATTGAATGTTACAGTTAGCCTTATTAAAACACAGTCTGATCTAAAGTCATCCAACAAACCAACAAACACTAATCAAACTAAAACTTAATTGTAGTTTTTATATGGTTATTTTGGTAGGATAAATTATTAGTATGACGCCCTGGCGTCTGGTGGTAAACTGAGTCGAGGTAAGAAGGTAGCAGAGACACATGTCCTGAATCCTAGCAGGGGGAGCAGGAACTTAAAAATATTACGTCATTGGACTCACAGACCGAAGACACCAATCTAAATAGGGTTAAAGTGCAGCAAAAATTATACTATAGAATTAATTTGCACAATGAAAATCTTGATAGTTTTTTTTTTATAGAAAATGAACAAAAAACCATTACGAGCACACCTTTAGACCAAAAACGTATTGTATATAGTAATGTGACGAAAAATCCATAAAATAATTTTTTTACACTTCACATCTAATAATGTACTAAAACTAGAAGATATAAACATTATGTGGTGACGATTTCAGTTCATTATTGTTGTTTTTCATGAAGTTACAAACAGAGAACACACTTGCCCCACCTCACCTTGTGTTAATGGTGTGCTGTTTGCTCTATTGCTACCAGCTTGTGTGTAAACAATTGTTATAAACAAAACAATAATAATGAATGACACAAAAATGTCAGCAGTTTCAAAAATAAAAGTGTCAACATTTTCAATTTTGAAACCTTTGAATCTCGAAACTGGCTGATCGAATCTCGAAACTGAAACTTTTCCAAAGTTTTGATGGTTTTGAGATTTGAGATTCGGTTTTGGCACATCACTACAGCTGTCAACTACGATAATAAATATTGTTCAGTACCGGTATTAACAAACAATATAAAAAATTTAAATATTGAAATAAAACTGTTCTAAACTACCTAACCTAACTAACCAAACTTGGTGTAAAATTTAAAAAATCCGTTTGATAGCCTACTGTATGCCTTTTCTGTTATCAAACGGGATTTTGAAACGGTAACTTAGCCTACAGCAAGTTTGGTTAGTTTAGAATAGTTTCATTTCTTAATCCAATATAGGCTAACTTATTATTTTTTCCTAAACAAGATCAGTTCTTAATCCGATCTCTAATACGAGCTATAATTCAATATACTCGGTTATTGAATCAAGTATAAATTAGGAAGGTATGGGGGTTTAGTGAGTGGGAGAAAATTTTGCGCCGTTCCGGCCAAACCTCGCATGCGGGGTTGGTTCGGCAGATTGGCCACAACCTAAACCCCAACTCTCACTTGTTAGCTGCGGAGAGCTACCTTCTGCCACTGGGTGTTGGTCCACCTACAGAACCAAGTGAGGGGGGCCCTAGACTAAGGTGTAATGCGATCCGTGCCAAGAGTCTTGTGGCACTGGGGGCCTAATATTCAGTGTCTTAACGGAGCCTTCTGGGAACCAGGGGTAACCCAGTCGTACGCACCCCTTACCTCTCTAATCGGGTCACTGGGGAGGTGGACTTAAATACCCGGTATTCGTGAGAACAATGTAGACAATCTGACCCAAATGGAGGAGGAAGGTCTACTGAAATCTGACGATGACGACAAGCTCGCAGAAACCGGAAAGGAACGAAAAACGACTTTCCAGGGGCGAGTTGCAAAGATGGAGGATAGCGGATGCTTAAGCCAAAGGCGAAAAGGTGCTATCCAGAAGTGAGAGGAGGCTGGTGTGGGCTGCCAAGCACCCTAACTCTGCTGCCTGCAAAGCCAGTTCCTCCGGGAACTAGGATGCTGGGAAAAAGCAGAGCAAGGGTGGTACCCCCAAAGCTGACTCTACTGAAGCCTCCAGGAAGAAAGGTGGAGGTTGTGCTGACGCAGCCACAAAGGATTGGCTGGTCAAGCAAGTTCAGGAGCTGAGTCCTTTCGGGGAAATCTCGCTACGGCTTGCCCCAGCCAGAGACCTTGTGAAAGCTGTGAAGGTATATATATGTGCCCAGCCCTACAAGGTCTGCGTATGAGATCCCTTGGCCTAATGATGGGAGATCAAAGGGAAAAACAGGTCACCATAGTCAAAAGGCTCTCACGGTTCACCAAAGACCTGGGATTTGACGGAGAATGAGGATCTGTGAACGAGGGTGCACAATAAGCTGTTCTAGCTGCGATGCAATCCCATGGTAACTTGTAAGCCTGGCCCTCTATTAAAAAAAAAAGTATAAATTAGATACCGGTACATAGATTTGCTATGTCTGTTTATCTGTCTGTCTGTAATTTAAATGTATTTGAAGATATTAAAACAGATGGAATAACTTATGGGTCGTAAAGGAAAACAAAAATTTTGATATATCGAAAAGAAATCATCGATAAGTTAATAATGAATGTTCCCCTTAACAGAAAAGTACCAAAGAGTAGGCCTAACTTACATCAAAGTTAGGATATTGCGCATGCCAAATTTAAGTTAGATTTTTCACAAAATAACTTTAACCGAAACTTAAAACTTACTTTATCAGTTTAAATGTAAATAACTTAACTTATTTCATCATTTAATTATGGTATTGTTAACTTAAGTTAACTTGTTCAGCCCGAAGTGTACCACCGGTGGTACACGTCGGAATTTGGGGACTTATTAAAAATACGATACCAGATATAGTAACTTAACCAAAAAGACGAAACTAAATTAACACGTAATATTAATAGGATTAAAAAAAAAATCTTTTGATATTGTCTTGTTTGCACTGAAACTTTGCTATGAGTGTGAAATTACGTAGTTTTATGAGTGTACCACCGATGGCGCACGTCAACCGGGGCGTAATTCTGGAGTTCCTGCCAGTGGACGTGCGTCACGTGCGCCACACGCTCTTCTTGCGGATAGCACGAGTTGACCAAGCTGGAGGGACCTGTCAGAAAAAATAGGAAAAGATGTGTTTTTTGCTACAAGGACAGTGCAAAAGAAAAAGGTAACGAAACAGCTAGGAAGCTAGCAAAAAGAGTAGTAACTTTCTGCAATGAATGCGAAGGAAACCCATTTATGTGTATACAATGTTTTAATAAGAACCACTAAGGACTAAAGACATGGACTTTTCAATGTGTTTCAAATTGTAAATCAATTATTAGGGATGTTACATTCATGGCATTTTTCTTTTCTTATTGTAACTCATAACAATAAACAAGCAATCTTTTTATAATAACTAGCCTACATTAGGAAACAATATTTTACATTTTTACACAATTTGGATAATACTGAAGCATTTTTGTATTCAATACAACTTGTTCCCATTAAATTAATTTGTTATTTATTTCCCTATTAAACATTAGGTATAATATAAGGTAAAAATGTAAGTGTAATAAAGTTCTAAGAAACGGGACTAACTTATTTTTCAAAGTATGGCTTGGTAAAAAAAAATTGCACGTGCGCCACAGGTGGCCACAATGTGTTTTTATTAACCTTAACTATGAATACACAGTTTATATATCTCAGAAAAGCTCCGAACACACTTCTAAAAAGCATCAAATCAAATGGAAACAATGCGCCACCGGTGGCACACGTCGGAGTTTTGGAAAGTTGGCCGTGCGCCACCGGTGGCGCATGTCGGAGCTATGGTAAGTTCAAAAACTGATGACTAATTTCCGTCGGGCTGAACGTGTTAAGTAGGCTAAGTATAAGTTAACACATGTTTTAAAATTTAAATAAGATAATAGAATATAAACAATAAGATATAAAGATATAAATTTAAATAAGATATAAACAAAAGAAATAACAACTAACTTACGGTACTATTTAATTTGATAGTATTTTTGGAGTCCTGCTTATGAAAGTCTAACTTAAACTTACCCCAAGGTAGAGCCGGCCTTAGGCAGGTGCAGATGCAGCCACACAGCGCACCTTGGTACAAATAGGTACCGTACCGTAGGCTTCAAGAAAGTTTTAAAAGACCATGAACTTTACATAAATTAATTTAAGTTAACACAGGGTAGGCTAAGTACGGTACGGTAAGTTAACTTACCTATGCCAACTTAAGTACGAAAGAAGAAAAATGGAAAAGTACCGGTAGGCTAAATTATGTTATAAATGCTAATTCAGGCCTAAGTTACCGTTAACTTAGGCCTACCTAACTTAATATAAGTTAGTTAATACTATGATATTTTTTTAGTTTGCCTAAGTTAGGTAGGCCTAGGCTAAGTTACTTAAGTTATTGTAAACAGGCTTTTTCAAGCAAACTTAGGAAAAGCCCTAAGATTACCTTTTTTTTACCAAAAAATCTTTCAAACTTTTGATTAGCAATTCATCCCTATGAGATAAAGGGTCAGCGAAAAATTAAAGAATGTGTCAATGGCTTTTTCCAAAACCCGGATAAGAGCCTAACTTAAGTTAGTTAGAACCTTAGCACATCTAACCTAAAATATATAAAGCAGGCTGATAACTTAGTCTTAGATAGCCCTGTAGTTCATTATATTACAGCCAAACAACGAAAGTAACTAAAATAATACGTTTGTAACTTACTGCAGAAATATTAAAAAAATCAAAAGAACCTCATTATAATAATAGTGGTCTACAAATTAGTTTCTCAAAGGTTGTTTTTATTAACCTTAACAAACCAGAATAGGTCTTAACTTGCAGACCAAAAAAGTATGCGAATCAATACGAGCTATAGAGGGACATTAAGCATTGCTTGATATATAAGAACGATTTATGGTATTTATTAGACAATTTACAAGCCAATAACAAAATTAACTATTGTAAAATTGAAAATACTAAATAATCCTAATATACTTACTTTTGACAACACATGCTTTATGAGCGCTGCCATGACAGTTATTGCTTCATATCACGTGATCAATATTGACCAATAGGATGCGCCAAGACTCTGCGCTTGTTGTGCTATCCATCCGCCATTTTACAGTCGCCATTGAAAGGTGAAAATCGTTCTGTGTCATAGTGGATTAATTCTATGTTTAATGTGGTTAATAATCTTTTTATTCAGTGTCTAGTGCTAAATTGGATACTTAAGAAGATGGATAAACTATGACGCATCAGAGTCATCAAACAAACGGAGCTAGTTTAGAGGATTGCCACACAAACTTCTTTGCTCTGGTAGGCTAAGTTGTTTTCTCCGTACCCTAGTTCTAAATTTTATCTTACTTTACACTGATATTTCGGTTGTCTGACTAAAAATTAATACGTTTATTTGCTAATAATACACCATTGAACGTCTTTCAGACTTTTTTGAAGTAATAGGTTCACTAAAAGGTCTTGTAAGACGTTAGAAATGTCTTGTCCTTTCTTGAGTGTAAAGTTGTAGAAAGTGTCACGCTTGGCATATCACTACAAGAAATTGATTAATTTCTAATTTTGACAAGCATTGCAGATATCTGTTTGATTTAGATTTTAATGGATAATTGTATTTGCAAACTAAACCCATTCTATTCTATTAAAACGTTCGAAAGATGTAAACTTAGGCTAGGTCTAGTAAGCAAAACGTCAGTGTTCTAACTTAAGTTGCCTTGTCTTCTAAAACATCATCCTTGAAACACTAAACTTTAAAACATAACCTATTTTACCAACTTTTGGGAAACTTAACCAAATGTTATTATAACATCTGCTTGACGATTTCTTTTCCTAAGAACTCATTTCCTGAATAAAATATGGGAATTACCTAACTTAATTTAGCCTAACTTTCATTTAACCTATTAAGATTGTGGAATGAAAGGGGATGACTAACTTTCTATTGACTGATTCATAAGTTAAGTAAAATAAGTTAGGTAAGTTATCCCTACTAAGACTTGATAAGCAATAAGTTAAGTTTATTAACTTAGTAGGCCTATTGCAAGACAAGGCAAGTTGAATATTTCGCAATTTATTCAAATAAATAACTTAAATGCCTACCTATTGACTTTGACCATGGATACTTAGCGTACCGTACTTTAAGTTAAGTTACAGTTTCTTAACTTCACTGGGCTAACTTAATGCACAATAAAACTATGGATACGAAACTTGTGTGAAGCTGGCAATAACTTAGCAATAGGCCTAACTTAAGTAATTTAATGCGCGCACCTTAAAAATATATTGCTGGCCGTTTTGCGGGAAAATACGGCCGTGAACCATATAACCGATAATGTCAGCAGATAGAGGACACTTTAACGGACACGACAGTAGCCTATCAATATCATGTAACTTAGGCCTACCTCTAGGGAGTAAGTTAGGGGGGAGGAGTAAAGTCAGCAATAGGTATTAGGCGGGCCTAATAAAATCTAATGCTGGCCGTTTGCGGAAAAATACGGCCGCGAACCATATTACCGATAATGTCAACAGATAGAGGACACTAACGGACACGACAGTATCAATATCATCCCTACCTAGGGAGTAAGTTAGGGGGGGGATAAAGTCAGCAATAGGTATTAGGCGGCCTAATAAAATCTAAGTTAATGCTGGCCATTTGCGGAAAAATACGGCTGCGAACCATATTACCGATAATGTCAACAGATAGAGGACACTTAAATAGACACAACAGTATCAATTTTTATTATGTACCCAGGGAGTAATTTAGGCGGGCCTAATAAAATCTATTGCTGGCCGTTTGCGGAACTTGCTGACTTTACCCCCCCCCCTAAATTACTCCCTGGGTACATGATATTGGTACTGTGGTGTCCTTTAAAGTGTCCTCTATTTGTTGACATTATCGGTAATATGGTTCGCGGCCGTATTTTTCTGGAAAACAGCCGCAATAGATTTTTTTATTGCGTGTGCACTACTTATTGCTGACTTTATACCCCCTAAATTACTCCCTGGGTACATGATATTGATACTGTCGTGTCTGTTAAAGTGTCCTCTATCTGTTGACATTATCAGTAGGCCTAATATAGTTTGCGGCCCTATTTTCCCGCAAAACAGCCAGCAATGGATTTTATCAGGCCCGCCTACCGGTACTTCTTATTGCTGGCTTTACACCCCCCCCCCCAACTTACTCCCTAGGTAACTTACATGGTATTGATACTGTCGTGTCCTCTATCTGTTGACATTAACGGTAATATAGTTCACGGCCGTATTTTTCTGGAAAACGGCCAGCAATAGATTTTTTAAGGCGCACACACTACGTATTGCTGAGTTTTTGCCAGGTTCACACCAATGGAGAGGAAAATATCGTTTATCGATGAGGCCTATAGGCCTACTTACTTTGTATGTTACTGGTAACTTAGGCCTACTGATTACGGTAACATTAAAAACTTATAGAATTTAAAAAATTGGTGTAGCCTAGCTAAGGCCTATAAATCAGAATCTGCTTCTTGTAAATCCAAAAATGTTGTTGCAATGACCCAACTAACTTAGTTTTAACTTCTCATGTCATCTTCGGGCGTCCAGTAGATGAAATCACTTCATAAAAAAGTCGTTGATAAGTTAACTTCTAAGGCTATTGTAGGCCTAGGCCTACATTTTTCAAGTTGAACAGGAACATAGAAACAATAAAAAGGTACATTCTTGATTAGTATAACGAAAGATTGGAAGACTAAAAATTTGGTAACTTAAGTTCACACAGCTCAACCTAACCTAGCCTAGGCATTTATTAACAATCTCTCTTTCTCGAGGAATAAAAAAAAATAGGTTAAATGAACATTTAAAACTTCATAATATAATTCATGCACACACACAACAGACAACATTTATTTGTTAATACTTAATGACAAATCACTTCAGCTTCAGCACACTCACAACACTTTCATTTTAATAATCATAATAAGTTTAACACTTGACTTTCAGTTTTCAAGCAGCTCAAGTCAATAGTAGGTAGACCTAAACAAACAAACACCTTCACAATACACAGTTCCAACCAGTAACCAAAGAAACTACTAGCTACTGGTCCAAGATATATATACAGTAAAGCTATTACACAAAAAGCTGTTATCCCAGGAACCGATCCGAGGCCTTCTGTGCATGTGGAAAGCAGAGGTGCCCGTGGGTACAGAACGTCGAGTATAAAAAACGATATATTCATTTGAGTTAATGTAGGACAGATACCAAACCTCAGCCAAAATCTTTTGTATTTTTCCTAAGCCTCAAAATTAGGCCTTTAGTGCAAAATGTTACAGGCCAATTTTCTACTTTTCTTCTTCTTACAAGTAGGCCTAGCTTTAATTAAGGTTAACAGTTCTACACAATTTTTTTTAGGTTCTGTCAATGGTTCTAGGAGAGGCGAAGCGACAAAAAAATGTTGATTTCAAAATGTGTTGTTGAAATGGCGGGCAACGAAATGTGTCGATTAGCGTAACGTTTTTCCGTTGCATGTTACGCACAGTTAGGCCTATAGTTGTTGAAATTACATAGGCCCTAACCCTTACCAATGGAAAGATGAGATTCTGAAGTTTCATTTTATTAGAATGAACCTTATAACAAGTAAATCAATCTTAGTAAGATACATTTGACTGAAAGGAAAAAAAAACGCTAACTCGCGAACGCCATGTTTTTTTGCGTAATCGTAAAAGATGAATCATTTCAAAAAATCATAGCAGACTTAATTTTTGTTTCTAACAAAAACAAGTGGTACTAGGGTAGGTACTAAGCATGAAGTGAACTTTCATTCTGTAAAAAGTATAATGTCATATTAATACATTCCAACGGCTGATGAACAGTTTGTAAAAGCCAATTTTTACGTATTGCTCATGTGGCGAATCGACAAAAATTGCCAATTTCTAAATCGCATATATATATATATAGCCTAATGTGAAATGTACAAAAACGCTGTTTTATATATGCTCTTATAGACGAAGGACAGTAGAATTCAATGTTGTCAGGCTGGTCACACGAATAGAAGCTTTGGATTTTTAAAAGCCAAAGGAACGGAACAGTTTGTCATTGTCTAACCTAAAATAGCGGCGTCGTCGTAAGTTTTAATCCGATAGCAAGACGAAGTGTGGGTTTTATCCCTAATTTTACAGTGTAATGTTCGTTTTAGTTTAGTGTTTTGTATTAAACTTAGATGTAATACTGTATTCATGCATTATTTTGCATAAATATTTAATATACACGTGTGTTCCAAAATAGGATAAAAAGTCAGTCAAGTTTGTGGCCCTAACAGCTGATCGGTTGTTTTGTTTACATTTTTGCTTATGTGAAAACAAACTATTCTATCGCTTATTTTATTTAGTTATTCTTTATATATATAGAATGATATTATTGGCTTCAAAAAATGTATGGTTTTATGATATTGATTTATTATTCGAGGTCATTTGTGGATCTATCAAAGTGTAGTTGTAGAAATTGATGTTTTCCAATTTTTCCGTGTTATTGCTAGTTAATCCATAAAAATAATTCTTTTGTGTATACAATTTGCATACGGTATTTTGAATTGTGCAATAAAAATTTACGTTACATGGTAACACGTGTTTGCTTTTAGAAAAAGAAATTGAAAAATATATATAGGCTATTTATTTTTTTTCCTTTTTTAAAAAAATCTACCTTTCTAAAATTGGTTTCTATTACCATTTTTGAATTCTACTGACTATTACGAACAAAATGAATATACGGTTCAATAGTTTACCTCTACTATTAATTTTATACAGATTTTTTTATAACTCCCTTACAAATTAACCAAAACAAGCCACAAAGCACATACTGAAAATTGGTTTTGCCACTCCTAGGGCAAAAATTTTTCCTTGTAATGTCCTGGGAAATAGCCTACAATGTATGTTAGGCCTACTTAAGTAAGTTTATATACCTACTATACTGTATGGTAGAACACAATTTATACAGCTCTAAAGTAAACTTAACCCATGTAGGCCTACATACAGTAAAAAATGGCCTGCCAGTAAGTTAAAGAGATTTGTAGTAGCTGCCAGATGCAGCGTTAAAAATACTGATTGTGCTACATTCTATATCGATGTCTTAAGTTATTATATCTTGTGATTGATATTTATACTGAACCTAACATTTTATCAAGTATTAAGTTATATCGTAGGCATAGGTTCTTTGCGGAACTGTACTGAAACCGTCTAAAGTCACAAATCTTTTAACACGTTCGCGGCGGCATGGGAGCGATCGCTCCCATACAGAACCCTAATGCCATCCTGGTGGGTGCGATCGCTCCCAAGCTGCAATGCGGT